ACAAATAAGACTTTTTATTTACCATCTAGCATGAGAAAATGCTTTTCCCCCCCCCCCCCCCTTTTTTTCTTGTAATAGAAAAACCAAATATCACTTTGTATGTTGCATACGAAATACGCCGACTTAATTTCCCTAGAATGAAATACGTAGGTAATCCTCACCGGATTCAGTCATATTTTGTAATTGAACTACGTCCTGGCCTGATTCCAATTGGATACATAGGCAGTATGAATCTGAATCGACCGTTTCATTCTTAATCTCATAATTTTGCATTTGTTGTAATCGAACTATATCATGATCTGATTATATTTGGATACGTAGGCTGCCTGAGTCAAGCTCGGTCATCTTCATCATATTTTATCATAATCCACGAACTATGTTCAGACATGATTCCATTTTGGATACGTAGGCAACCTGAAAGTGTTCGGTCATAACCTTACGAAAACCTTTGTAATGCATTAGTTTGAATTAGGATGCATTCGCAACGGCAAGCAACCATGTCAAAAGCATCACGGAAGATCGACATCAGTAGGACAAAGTTTTCAAGAAGATACACATGCGTGTGGAGAACGTTTTGTAACATGTCACAATTCGGAACGACGGTATTTTCCTTAAAAACAAAATATTTTATAAATGTTTTCTAAAAAATACAGTAATCTATTCCACCTACTGAACTTCACAGCGTAACCATATCAAAGGCCGGGGGAAACCAACAATGTTGTTTTTTCTTTGAGTGTAGGGTCAACAGGAAGCATTAAGATCACACCGGGGAAAATGACGGATCCGCCACTTGCCTAATATTATCTCTCTTTCTCCTTTACATGAATTTTTCTGGTACAACTAAGGCTAATCTTTGAATCCATTGCAGGTACCTCAGATTCAGACCGATGATACAGGAAAAACCTGTACATAGAAAACTGCTTGCTCAAATAATCGGAGCACCTTGTATAAAATGGACTGTTGGCTTCATCAATGGAAGCCCTATAAATAGAAAACCGCATGTTCAACTAATCGGAGCTCCTTGTACAAATGATCCATCTGCTTTACCAATTGAAGCCTTGTATATAGCAAATCGTCAGCACAATCGATCGGAGTTCCCAGTACAAATCGAATGTCGGCTTCGCCAATTGGAGCCTCATATATAGCAAACTATTCATATCTCCAATAGAACAATGCTCATTGCCGCTTCGTTTCAATTGATTCCAGAATAGATAGTTGCAAACCTAGTCACTGACGTTCTGCCAATCGATGGCCGCAACTTAGCTTCGCAGTCAAGAGTATCTCTTGGGCATGCTTTTATTTCCTTTTCCTATAATTTTGAATGTTTTGATGTTTTGCTTATGCAACTTCAGGCATGATTGCGGTCTTAATCAATCCCTCCCAAGCGGAGATGCATTCTACAAATCAAGCTCTCCCAACAAGCGGAGATATTTCTCAGTGCAAAGCTCTCTCTACAAGCGGAGACAATTTTCAAATGCTCCGACTGCTGCGGAATGGTACATAGCCTGGCTAACAAATCGAGTCAAGATCAAGTATACCATCATCCCGATCCCCAATAACGACTTGCCGAAAGCCAGGTATCATCATTTTTGTATCATCTACATCGCATCATAATATATTCTGCATTGCAATATATGGGTATGCATGTATTTCATTTGTTTTGCAAGAAAAAACATCGCAACGTAGAACTCTTTCTAAGTAGCAGACCAAACTACAATTCTATGAGGGACAACAAACCCATTAGCGGGCCAAGGATCCAAGTTCAAGCACAAAACGACCAATGAAACTCAAAATTTTCAAATCCTTCAAATCAAGCCGCAAAATTCAAGATATCATGAGTGCTTAATCCTCTGTTTCGCTGTATCATCATAATACAATACTAGGGCAGTTCTTGCATGTATCGCTTCCTCAAAAACCTTTACTCCAGAACTACATGAGGCCTGATCCTCATTAAACCCGAGGTTTGTAAGCAATTTAAAGCCAGAATTCGGCCCCAATCTCTCCAAAATGCTTCCCACGATCCTCCCAAAATCTTCCTTAACTCCTAATCCTGCAGCTCATAATATTCATGCCACTCTTGCAATGCATGCCCAAAGTCGGGACAAAATTGGTTTTGTTTTAATTTCTTTGCCCGAAAACTCTGTCATCATCTCTGATCAACGAGGGGCAGCTGTTGACGGCCAATTTTCACCCTCCTTTTTAAAATTAATTTACTTATACATAATAATGTACAATAAATATTTTGAAAGTATTTTCTATTAATAAATGCCTATTTCTACAAATTAATTAAGTATTAGTTTTGAAATTAATCACTTACTATTAGTATAATATAATTACAAATATACTTACTACTTTAAGATTATTAAAATAGCCTTTATATAAATATTATAGGCTTTATAATTAATTTGACAAATTACTCCTTAATTTCTAGTTAATTAGACTACTATGTTAATAATTTGAAATTAATTCTATAATTCAAAAAACTGAAGTATTTATAAATAATAAATTAAAATAGTTATTAATGTATATAATAATTATAATTTTACTGTATTTTATTGAAAATTATTAACCTTATTTAATTTAATTATAAAAAGGATCAAAAGAGGCTAAAGGCTATAATTGTAATTCTCTATCAAAGACCAATTGGCTAGTCTTTAAAACAAACTAGCCCAATACCCAAACCCAATCCGGAAATGCCCAATCCAAATAATCCCTCCATTTTCACTTTGGCAATCCACGCCATTACGTTTGAGCCAATCACAACACGCCACATCGCCTTTTCCATCTCCTCACAAAAGAAGCATAACACATCCTGGACGTTGATTCAAATTATCAATGGACCAGGATTAATCCCGTTTTTCCATTTATATTTTTGAAAGACCATTTTGTTTATCTCCGCCATTGGATGACAAGAATCCAACAACCATCAAATTTTCTCCATAAATCATTTTAAAAGCCTAACACTCAAAATAATCGGAGCCGTTTGATCATTTCATCTCCCGTTTCGTCTCTCATTCTTAACCCCAGAGACAACTCAATTCATCCCAAACCCTAATCATTCCGTCTAAGACCGAGCCGCATCTCTTTCCTATTTTCTTCTCTTTTCTCTCAACCTCCCATGAACATCAATCAATAGACCTTGCACAAATTCGTGCAAGGTCATGAGATTTCTCAATAAGTTGTCTCTCCTGCTTCCCTATCTGTGAATCTCGCTGATATTTCCTTATTTATTAATCTAATATTTAACACCATACATGGCCAGTAAAATCGAAGAACTCATTTCATCTTCGTTCTTTCAAATCCAGCTTGCAAAATCATCCGCTTAGTCCCTAGGCTATGAGGCCTATGATTCACTTTCCGTTTTCGCAGATTAGATTCAAAACCCCTAAAATCGGAAACCCTATCTTGAAGATGTAACTTCAACTTAAATCCTCTCTCACTCCGTCAAATCGGAGCATGCATGGACTTTTTCATAGGATTTATTATGAGGGTTCTTTACCTAGAGGTCAAATGTTGTAACGACCCGACCAGTCGTTTTGAGCTCTAGCGCATCATTCAGTGGTTTGAGACCCTGAGATTCTTCACTCAAGGTATTATGACTTGTATATGTGGTCGGAATTGAATTTTGGGAGATACGGAGTTGGAAATTCTCATTTTCGAAGCTTTAAGTTGGAAGAATTGACTAAAGAGTGATTTTTAAGTAACCGATCTCGAAATCAGGATTTGAAGGTTCCAACAGGTTTGTATGACGATTTTGGACTTAGGAGAATGTCCGGATCGGGTTTTGGATAACACGGGAGCGTTTCAACGCATATTCTAGAAGTTGGCATTGTTGGAAGAATTTCCTAAATTTTGGTTGAAGTGCATTTTAAGGTTATTGATGTCCGTTTGGGATTCTGAGTTTGGGAATAGCTTCGTAAGACGATTATGGTATTGGGAGCACATCCGGATATGGATTTGGAGGTCTGTAGTTCATTTTGGGGTCATTTGGCCAAAGCTAGAAATTTGAAGGTTTTTGAGAAGTTTGACCGGGAGTGGAGTTTTTGATATCGGGGTCGGATTCCTATTCCGAAAGTTGGAGTAGGTCAGTAATGTTGAATGTGACATGTGTGCAAAATGTG